GTTTTATTTTTCCTAATATTAGTTTCTACTATTAGTTAATTGAGAAAAAGAAAAGTCACTGCAGTAATTTCCTCCCAGAAAATTAAAAAAAATTTTAGTGCTCTGCACATTTAAGCATTTAAATAATTATAAAGATTTTTACATAATATATATTCAGCTTAATTATATTTATTTAAAAGTGTTATTATACAATATATATTATTTAAATCAAATATTTCAAAATAAAGTTTAGTTTGCGATTGCAAGACAATCGCGATTTCAGAAAATTGAAATAGGATTTTTCAATTTCTCTCGAATTTGTGATATATAATTTATTCTGTAAATATAGACTGAATTTTAATTTTTAACGCAGCATTCGAGCAACGACTCTAACGAATCGAAAAATTCAAACAATGTCAATTTTCTTTATCTGCTATTCTGAGAACGAACATTTTCTTCTCGACATCTATATGATGTTTCGAACAAAAAAAATGAAATGTTGCGAATGAGAATAGAAATGTTACATTACGTAGATATAATTAGTCGAAGAAAACTGTATAGATGCCTCTCTCTTCTCTATTTTTTCAGAGTGTTACAACAATATATTTAAAATATAAAATTTCTCAGAAAAATTTTTTTAAATTTATATTTTTTAAATAGAATAATTTTTCTATTTTATAATGTATAAATAATTTTGAAAATTTAATTCGGATTATAAAATAACGAATAGTATTTTCTAATTTAAATATTCTTATATAGCAACAATACTGTATATTCTTCAACTTATATTTCAAATATTATTTTGATGACGTGTAATCTGCATCAACAAATTATTTTAAGAAGCTCAATAAGAGGTATTGATATATAATTATAGAGAGAGGCACAGAACATTTTAATAGCCACATCAAGTGCACCGGTAGCATAAATATTGTGAAATACATGAATAAAAAAACACTTATTTTCATTCGTTCTTTAAATAAGTAGCTGTATATTATATAAATGTATCGTATAAATTCGACAGAGACGTGAAAAGAGACAAATTATTTAAAAAATTATAATGAAAAATGAAAAATTAAAATTATGTGCATAATAGAAATTTGGGAATTCAAATTATATACATAATTGAAATTCACCGAATAATTTTAATTTCCAAATTTCTATTATGCACATAATTGTAATTCGCCGTATTTCTATTATGTAAATAATTGAAATTGTACATAATAGAATTTTGGCCAATTAATATTACACGTATATATATGATAGAAATTTGGTGAATTAAAATTATAAATATATAATAGAAATTCAAGAATTAAAATTATGTACACAATGAAAATTCAAGAATAAATTATTTTGTATGAAAATATTAACACAGTATTTGCATCTTCATTCAATATATTCATATTAGTTGCTTTCCATTTACATCAAAACTCAGATAAATCTCACTTCTGTCTTTCTTCAACATCCATGTTAAAGAAAGATAGAAGTGCGATTTATCTAAGTTTTGATGTAAATGGAAAGCAACTATTATATTAAATTAATATAAACATTTTTGTGGACCGTTTGAGACATGTGATATCTGTTAAATTTAACACAAATTTATCAACTGTATATATTCACGCTAAATGTAGAACTTTTTTTTTACTATTGAGAAAGGATCTTATAATTTACTAAAAATCTGTGTTAAATTACATTTTAATTTTTAAGTAGGATTGTATAGGATTAAGTAGGATTTTTGTGTAGAAGGTAGAATGTCTACTGTGAAGGAAAATTGCTCTTTTTCTCTATATATGTGTATCGCTTTCATATAAAATAGATACCAGAAGCAGCGTAATTTGTTCAAAGAGATTCCAAGAATCACGGGCTTCTCCAAAAGTTTCATCAATGTATTTATAACATAAATTAATATCATAAAGTATATATACTCGTAGACTCGTCTATATATATATATATATATATATATATACTTTTCATTTATTTCGCATTATTGTGAAACAAGAAGATCCAGCTTCTGAAATAATCTCTCCGCGATCGCGTTTATTAAATGGATTTCGGAAGTTTCTAATAAAGAGCAACGTGTGCACTCGATCGGTGCACGGCTGATCCGATTATATTACCGCGCTTCTACGATTACAAACTCCGCTAATAACTTTGCGTAATACGCCAATCTCCAGGCAAAATGCATAATTAAAGCTGAAATCCGTAAGGCATACGTCGCAAGAACAAGAGTTGCGTGACGCGTTGTATTACAAGATATTGTGTGTGTAAATACTACCTTATAGTGTGTTTATGTCAATGTAACACAATGTATAAATACCCTGAAGCAAATTCGGAAATGCCGTTTACTTACGATAAAAATTCCATTTAATATACGCATTTAATATTACGTATATAATATTGTGCTTCGATGATTTTAAAATTAGCTACACTGGAGAAAATCTATTGATTTCAAATAAATATTTATTTTAATAGTACCATTTGTTTGAAACTAATAATATTGGTTTGAAAAAATACTTATTTGATATAAGAAAGCCTTTCTCAAAGCAAATATTTATTTGTTTCAAACAAATGTGTGAATGGCACTATTAAAAAAATAAATACTTATTTGAAATCAATAGTTTTTTTCAGTGTAGATAAAGATGAGATAAAAATATATAAATTTTTCTTACAATTAGATAAGGTAAAGATGATTTTATTTTAAATATATCTAGATAAAAGATAAACTTATATGGCGATTCATCTAGATAATTTCCAGACAATATTATTATTAAGACCGCTTTTATGTATACATAAAACAGTTATAAAAAGAGATATAAAAACATGTTCATATACTTTTATTTATAAGTTTTCATTGCTTAAGTTCTACGACTTAAAAAATGTTTATGTGTTATAACTCTAAATCAAATTATCTGAACATCATTTTAGATAATTTAGTAAAAATAACACGTTTTTGTCTAAAATGCAGATATAGGTAATACATATTTTTATATCTATACAAAGATAAGATAACGTCAAAATTTCATCTAGATAATCATCATTGTAATTTTATTTAGATAATAGCAAACACTGTACGTACATAATTCCCTCAGAAACATCTGTCCTGTGGGAAACCATTATATCTTGAAAGGTAAAAATTAGAAGATAGGAAATATCCTGTCCTATCACGCGAATTAGACATTAATGAAACAAGTTGAATGAACAAGTATATATTATATTATTCGCGAAATGGAACAACAACGGCTAACTCGAGTCAATCTTACACCGTACATCCTTTCCAGTTTCCTTGCAAAACAATCTCGGAAGAAATATTAAGTTCGTCGTAACTTTTATTCGACGTATCTTACATCTTACGTAGTAATACTGGCACAACTTTAAAGACTACTCTTGCGTTTGACGGATATTTTATCGACATCGTGGTTGGATATCACGTATATTTATGCGCAAAAAATCTATGCTATAGTTGCAAAAATAAATATTAAATAACATCTTTATATATATATATATATAAGTTTCAACTTTCAATCTCTCGTTGAATTTAATGTTATGTAAAATAACATTGAAGAAATCTGTAGAAAAACTTGCAATTTTTTTTCTTTGCAAAATTAAGTAGAACTTTTCTTTACGCAATTTGCTGCTTTACTAAGAAAGCACTGAAACTTCGGTAAACAGAAGGAAACCGGTTATTGCGAGCGAGTAGATGTGACGTTGATATGATGTGTATCTTGCAGTGCAACGAAAGGTAATTGATTATCCACACGGATTAACTGTATGAATCGCGTGAGATGTTGCGACAAGGGATAACATCGATCAAACAGAGACACAACTGATCATCTTTAATTAATATGATACCCGAAATTTCTGTGCCTTCAATGATTCTTACGTCCAATGAAATTCACTTCCTAAGATCTTTTCTGTCTCCCACAGAGTTTCCGCTCTTTCAATTTAGAAATTAACCCGACGTTATCGTCGCCATCGATCTCTCTCACAATTCACGATATAACACGATTATCGATAATTTCTCATTAGAACCACGAATCCAATTAAGCTACGCGGAATAGCCTGTGTTCGTCGCATAATTTGCCCCCAATAAATATTGCCTGTCTTCGTCTATGTCGGGCTTTTAATAATGTATTCTCGAGCGATTGTGTAAGGATAATATTGGTAATATTGGAAATTTGAAAATAAATTAGTTCATTTTATAAATGTTTTTAACAGATTGTGACAGGTTTTGTATATCAGATTATATTTGTACGATACATATATATCGCAATACAAAATTAAAATTTTATGCATTCACGTAGTTCGTTTTCAATGTTTGCTGTTATCTAAATCAAATTACATAGATGATCATCTAGATAAAACTTTGGCATCTATCTTTATATAGATATAATAAAAATATATATTGTCTATATCTGTATTTTAGATTTAAAAAAGTATTATCTTTATTAAATTATCGAAAATAATGGTTCGGCTAATTTCATTTAGATAGCATATAAAAATACTTAATTAATAGAACTTAAGCAGTAAGCGAAGAAAACTTATAAATAAAAATATGAATATATTTTTCTGAAAATAAAATCTGAAAGACTATTGAGCTTTCTATATTTATTCTAAATCCGTTCTTATAGATTGCTTTAAGTCTCAAATGGTGCTTTAAGTCTTAAGATGAATGATTCTTCCATGCAGTCAGTGAAATAACCATATATGTAACACCTTAAGATCATACTTAAAGGTGTCTTAAATAAAAGAACGTTATCAATTTTATCAATACGAACCTAAAGAGTTCTTTAAAAGATTAATAGACGCCCTTTGTATACATAGTCATTTACACGCGCGTCTATTTTGATCCAGACATTTCTGACGAAACGACACGCGAACATACAATTAATTATATATATACAATTTTTTTTAAATAAATAAATAAATAATTTTTAACATTTCTTTTTAATTTTTGTTTAATTTAAAAATTTTAAATAAATAAATTAATATTTTTCAAAATAAAGAAATAATTATTTCTTTTACAGACATCGAGCGACTGTGTCGAACAAAGATAAAGGAGACGCGGAAGAAATAGAATGGTTTCTTCCGCGGTATTCGGAGCAGCTGCCGGCACGGGATTAGCCCTAGTGGTGGCGATGACGATCGTAATTTATCGTTACTATGCCATGAAGCGGAAAGGAAAGTGGAGCTGGAGCGATCTGGATCGCTGGCCGGATCCGCCGCGCATCAACAACAGCGGCAGCAACGAGCAGCCCCGTCATCAACATCACTGTCACGCATCAACGGCGTCCCACGTGCTTGACTGCTGGCGGAAGCCGCAAAAAAGTTACTATGCTGTGCAGACCGCGGTTAGTATCCAGTCATCGCTTTGACATTATTTAGTCACGTGACTGTCAGGACCACGGTCCTATGTACAGGTCAGGACACTCATTCAAATGAAGTGTATAAAAAACGTAACCAATATGGCAGCCAACTCTCTCAGGTCTGTTATATAATAATATATTTATTATAATATATTTCACTATTTTTAAATAATTTAATAAAAGCTAGTCTTAATATTTATTATTTATTCCGACGGATTTATTTTTAACACTTTTTCAATTGTGCACAAGATTTACACAAACTGTCAACAAACTGTCAAAATAAAAAAAATCAGCGCTGGCGCACATTGAATAAATCGGCCTGAGTTGAAAGCCATATTAGCTACATTTTGTTGACGTTTGATAGTATATATAGTCGATATATAGAAGTGTTCTGACCTGTATATAAGACTGTGGTCAGGACTGTCTCGTAAAAGTCCATCCATTGAAAGTCCTTTTTTCCACAATAAAAAATTCTAAACAATTTTCTCAGAAAAATCTCTTTTTGCACCAGCTGCTAATGAATTAATAATGACTCAAATATTTATGACTAAGTAGATTAATCCTTGGAAATATTACGTTGAAGCGAGCAAACGTTCCAAAAAAATAGGCGATGTAAAACAGTTGTGAGCAAAAATGCGGTGATACTTAAAAAAACTACTTCCAAATTAAACAAAAATAACATTTGAACTTTCACTAAAATACTTGTTTAAACAAAAAATACTTGGTTAAGCAAATGCTTTTTATTTAATATTTACGCAGACTGCAGTTAGTATCTAGTTATCGGTTTGACATTATTTAGCCACGTGTCTGTAATAGTCCATCTATTGAAAGTTCTTCTTCTAATAAAAAACTCTAAAGAATTTGCCAAATCCCCACAGAAAAACCTCCCCTATTTCATCAGCTTCAACGAGTTAAAATAATGACTTAAATGGAAGTTTATAATTAGTAGTTAATTACTAAAGTTAATCTTTAGAAATATTATATTGAAGCGAACAAACGTCTCGAAGAAATAAGCAAAAAATTTGTTGGCTAAAGATGGTGACATTTAAAATTACTACAAATCAAACAAAAATAAAATTTGAACTTTAATTAAAATATGCTTGTTCAAGCAAATGTTTCTTATAATTAATAGTATTTACGCAGATCACAGATAGTATTTAATTATCAATTTGACATTATTTAGCCATATAACTGTTTCTATGTAATAGTCCATCCATTGAAAGTTCTTTTTCTAATGAAAAACTCTAAAGAGTTTGCCAAATCCCCACAGAAAAACCTCCCTTTTTCACCAATTCCAACTGACTTAATTAATGAATTAAATAAAAGTTTATAATTAGAAGTTAATTATGAAAGTTAATCCTTAGAAATATTATATTAAAGCGAGCAAACGTTTAAAGAAATAAACGATGCAAAAAATTGATTAGCTAAAGATGATATTTAAAATTACTTACAAATCAAACAAAAATAATATTTAAACTTTTATTAAAATACCTGTTTAAGCAGTGCTTTATATGATCAATAGTAATTATCGATTTGACATTATTTAGACACGTGACTATCCGTAATAATTCATTCATTGCAAGTCCTTTCTCTAATGAACAACTCTAAAGAATTTACGGCCAAGTCTCCATAGAAAAACCTCTCCTTTTTTACCAAATTTATCAAATGAACTAAATAATGACTTAAAAAAAAGTTTATAACTAGTTAACCTTTAGAAATATTATATTGAAGTGAACAAATGTTCCGAAGAAATAAGCGATGCAAATTTGTCAGCTAAAGATAATGACACTTAAAATTACTTACAAATCAAACATAAATAATATTTGAACTTTCATTAAAATATGCTTGTTCAAGCAAATGGTTCTTATGATCAATGATATTTACGTAGATCGCAGTTAGTATTTAATTATTGAGCTACGTGGCTGTCCATAATAATCCATCCATTAAACGTTCTTCTTCTCATGGAAAATTTAAAGAATGTACGATCAAGTTTCCTTCATCTTTTTTTCACTATCTCCAACAAAGCTAAATAATGACTTAAATGAAAGTTTATGACTAGTAGATTAACCGATAGAAATATTACATTGATAACGACAGATTCGAATTTTTCACTAAAATGTTCAAACATAAAGTCTATATGCTTTTAATATTAGAAGTTCTATTTCGTTTCTTGTTGTAATTATCATCAATTTTAAATATCATCTGTTAAATATCTGGTGTTAATAATTTTTTGAATCACTTAACGCTAATCGCTTTCTGTAGAACGTTTATTTGTCTCAATATAATTCCTTATAGAGTTAATCTACTATGACTCTAAAGCGTCATAAATTCTTCCATTTAAGTCATTATTTAGCTCAATTAAAGATAGTAAAAAAAAGGAATAATTCTTGGTCGCACTCTTTCACGAAACGCGTTTTATTATGACGAGAAAAAGAGAGAGAGAGAGAGAGAGAGAGAGAGAGAGAGAGAGCGATCGTAAAGAAACTTTTTAAAATAAAAATAAATAACAGAAAATATTACATTAAATGCTTGCAATAAAGAGTGCGCTTTGAGTACACAATAAATAGCTCTTTTCAATTACGTAACATTTTTCCTTCTTAAAGATCAATAATTTCTTCTATTATTAGTCTTCAATTCCCGCGCCCTTTTCTTTGTTTTCATTAATTAGAGATATTTTGAAAGACGTAGATTTTTCATATAAATTAATATAAATGCTACTTTGTAGCCTTAAAATATTCTTCAAAGTTTAAACATGTATTTTTTAATGCATAGATACCAAGCTGGCGAGAAATGTTGCTCTCATTGCTTGCCAGTAACTCGTCGTCGGTATTTAAATTTCGCTTCTGTGTCGGTAGAATATGAACAAAGGTCGGTAAAGCGTTTCTGCTTGAAGCCGAAAGCCGGTAAGATATTTGAAATTCTACTGTGCTTGATCCTGTGCAGAATCCTGCTATGCTTATCCCATCAGGATAAATTTTATTCGGTGCCTTATGTCGGCAAAATATCATTTCACACGTGTCAAAAAAAAAAACATCGTCGATATCTCCGACTTCCGAAAAATTATCAAGATATAATAAAAAAATTAATAATAATTTGTATTTGCGTTAACAATTAATATTCCTGCTTATTGGATGACAATGAATAGATTGTTTCACCAACATTATATAAAATATATATGAAAATATTGTTTTCATTCGTGAATTCTCTTTGACAAATTAACAATCAATGTCCCATAATAATAAAATATTTTCAATATTTTAATTAAATTATTACATCAAGGCAAGTATCTATTTTGTTATCAAAATGATAAAAATGTAGCAAAATTAATATTTTTAAAATTATTTTTGTAATTCTCGTACATCGATACACAAGTTTAACGCGGAAAATGAAAAAATCAATTATGTATTCTCGAACTGATTAATCCAATGAACTTTGATAGTCATCTATCTAGTACAGGAAGAGCTTAATAATACATTGCCAATACCCAACATTTTATTTTAAGCACCGTGCATTTGTGTGTACTAAATATATATGTATACATCGAACATGAGAGAGGAAACAATCTTCTTTATTATGTCTTTATATCGTTTTACGAAAATGAATACGACGTAAACAGAACGATCTATAGCAGCCGAACTTGATTGACTTGTGACCTATATTTTTTCTTTATAAATATATTTTTAATTATCTTTCTTTCCTTCGGGTGACCCATTTTTTGAACAAAGTTCACGCTGCAGGAACAAACGACCGGACTTGCAATTGCAAACAAATTATGCATTGTTTATACATTTACGCTGGAGTTTAATGGAAGCGAAATATCGTTCTTATCGTAAACGAGAACGTTATTATAAACAAGATGGAAATGGGATTAGTAAGTTTGTTATTTCTCCGTTTATCATATTTCCGCGCACACGCATATAGCAGTAAAGAGCCTCCTGCTCCGAACCGGAACATTGAATCTAGAATTTCGATCGATACAGCGTCTATAAGCGCGACAGATATCGCATTTTGCGAGTGATATGAACTTACAACGCGATAGTAACGTCACGATGGCGGATGGATTTTCCTGTTATATAATAGAATATTATATATATAATAGAATAATATTATAACAATATTATAATAATATTATAATATATAGAATTATATATAGAATATATATATATAATATGTATAATATTATAATATATTATATATAATATTATTATAATATTGTTATATATTATTATATTATATATATGTATAATATAATAATATTATAACAATATTATAATAATATTATATATAATATATTATAATATTATACATATTATATATATTCTATATATTATACAATGTATTATATAATAATTTTATATATATATGTGCTTGATCTGTCTTTGATATTTTACTTTCCTTGTAAATTATTTATAACTTATTTGTTGAGTTTCTATGGTTATTCTGACGTCAAACACGTTTGATATTTTAGTAATATATAAATATAATATATAAATATAAACGTTAACGTGAAAAATAAATTTATTTTTTTAGTATTTCTGCTTCTTGTATTTGCTAAATATATCATAGCCAAGTTAAGATTGCATAATAAGTTGCATAAATAAAAACGAACATCTAATGCATAGTTAAAGAAAAAAAATGTACTTAATTCTTAGTATATATACAAATTTAATATGTAAAAATTAAAATTAAAAGATTCAATGTATATTTTATTTCGTATAACCCAATACGTAGGTATATATATATTTTGAAAATGTGAAGAATATCAAGTTTCAAAAACTGTGGGGAAAATTAAAACCCTAGATTAATTTCGTCGAATTTTTGAAAAGGTCAGCGAAACGTTGTTGTTTGGACTAAATCTCATCGATTAATTTTTTTTTCGCGTAAAACGTTCGATTTTCTAACTTTTCGTATATCAAGTCAATTTGCAAAATTGTGAACTCCCATTTTGTGCAAAGTGCATTGAAAGCATACAGTAATTAGGTTAA